TTGATCGACTAAATTACACTATCATTTACTTCACCCATCACTTTTCTTCATCTTCACTTCTTCACCTTCGCTGTCTATATATTTCATAATTTTGTAACCATGATTGAATCAGGTCCTAATTAGGGCTCGTGCCCATGCCCAACAGAAGGCACAGGCATGGGCAAGAGCATAAAAATTTGGCACGAGCATGGGCATGGGCATGGGCACAAAAAATTAGCATGGGCATATGCACGGGTACAAAAACTTGGCATGGGCTCAAAATTTTAATATTTATTAATTAATTGTGCCTGGCACTTTGCTCGGCACCTTTTTGGCACCTTTTTGCCTAGTACAGTCAACTCTTTCTAATCCGACCCGTCCGTTCTTATATGTAAAATTGGTCAAAAAGGTCAGTTCTCAAAGAGGTACTATATGCTAATCCGAACTTTATAATAAAATTTACAAATTTCTTAGAGTTTTAGGTTCGGATTAGAGAGAGTTGACTGTATATCGTGCCGTGCCTATAAAGTACCTGGCATTTGTGCCCATGCCCATAAAAAATGCCTGGCATTTGTACCCATGCCCATAATAATGCCTGGCACTTTTGTGCCTTAGGCATGGGCATGGCATGAGGCACTAGTGCCTGGCCTGGTGCCAGTATGCCTGGCATGCCCACTTGCAGACCCCTAGTCCTAATTTGATTGATTATGCGTTAGATTATCAGTTAACAAATGTTAAATGAACTTCTTGGTCATTTGTATTTGAAATGACCAATGACTGAGCCATTTGGGTCATTTCAAGTCATTTACCATTGTTGCAAATTAGCTCAGGGTTACAAGCAGTGTTAGATATCTAATATTCTCAGTGTTCTCAAGAACATTTAAAAAAGTTTGAGAACATTGTATTTATAAATTATGTTCTCTTTTGAGAACCAACTAAGAACATAAAATTTATAATTTATGTCCTCATGATATATAAAAAATATATAATTTTTCTTATTACTATTATTAAGAACATTAAAACATTTATGAGAGCATAAAACTATCTATTTATGTTTTCAAAATACAAAAAAAAAATTTTCAGATCTTTAACACTGTTTACAAGCATAGGTTGAATGGATGTTCATTAGGGGATTCGGAATTAATGATAGCGGGATATTAAGGAATGTATTTATTTAGTTATTTAGTCGAGCAAAAAGAATTCATTGATTATGCTCTTTATTAACACAAGCGTCGTATTTATGCATTCTTAGACTAAGACGGTCTGAGACCAAGATTTTGGTTCTAAACACCATCGGTGGTCTCAGATCAGGATCTGTGGTCTCGAACCATCATTTAAGGTCCGGAAGAACCATGATCTGGGGTCCAAACCCATTACCCATTCAAATCTAACACCTATAAAGGAAGCATCATTGTTTGGGGCTAAATATACTAATTATAAACGGGGCAAATTACGCTAAGAAAAATTATTGATAACCGATAATAACCGCCCTAGTTATATATACTATTTATCTGCCAGGGTTAAAGATTATATAAATAAATTCCAAGCATTTATGCGTTAGCATGAATAGTTATATACATGAGTACACTAAACGCATGTCACAATATGTTACTCAATTTGTTTACTATCACAGAAGTGGCGCACAATCAGTGATCTTTTTTTTTTTAAAAAAAATAAAAAATAAATCATTGCAAAAAAATTCATAGTACAAAATACTAAAAAATTTATTAAATATGTGTATATGTGTAGTACACAAATAAAATTTCGATGATTACGTATATTTACTTTAACAACTCTATACAAATTTATAGACTTATAACCTTTTAAAAATTATTCTAATTATTCATGTAATTGCATTATGCTAAATCTTGTTACTATTTTATGATAATTAGTTAGTAATAAAAATGATATTACAGTATATGGTATAAAGACACATAAGTTTTACAAATTTTTCTTTTCCGATAACGTAATACAGTATGTATATGATCGATTGTTTATATATCTATACATGATAAACAACTTAATACCAAAAATATTTGAAATAACCACATAAAAATTAAATTTGCAGCTCGAATTTGACATGCTGTTCTGATTATTGGCAAAGTATAATTGTAATTACCAGGGCAATCAAAAGGAATATCGCCCATTTCATTAATTGTAAGTATTGTGTATATGGCTTTTGAGTAAATGCGTTAACGTAAAATTAGAAAAAAAAAATAAGAGATTTATAGAACGAATGTATAAATAAATACTTACTTGGAAACACCAACAATAAAACATAGATCAATCTTGAGTCAAAAAAGCGTTAGTAAAAAGAATTATGAATAAAAAATTAGATTTATAAAAACAATTATGCATACATAATATTTTCACTCAATCTATTTTCTCCAGAAAACCAATTGCAACATAAATTGATCAATGAACCAACTATATTTAAAACAAAATATTGAATAATTAACGATAATTTATCGTAAATGGGATATTTATTTTTTAGTTTTTTTTTTTTTGTTAACCTACTTATCACAATACACGAAACTACCATATATCTATAAAATTATATATAATCAAAAAATTAATTAAAATAATTCGCATTACGGCATTAACTTTTTAAAATATATGCTACTTTTAAATATTACGCATAATCGATTTCATGTATTCGTAATACACCTCCTGTGTTATTAAATAGGATGATCTTAGCAAGTTCTGAAAGATTATCAAAAGAAATTTATTAGTTAATTATCAAAGAAAACGACAAATTTTAACATTTAAATTTACCAAAAGCTGGACAAATAAATATCAACACAGTAATTATTGAAGAAGTGATATTTCTGACTAAATGTGCAAAAGATTTCATCGTTGCTACGAATGTATATTTCAATTTCGTTAATGAAGGATTCATTTTCAATTCATTTTCAATAATAAAATTTTTTTCGCAAATCGCAATTGAATTTACATAGATCATCATATACCGTAGGTCAATAAATATTTTATATAGTTTTAAACCGATAAGCCAAACAGATTGCCAAAGCCCAAATTAATAAACTTGTTAAAATATTAAATATGCGCTTGTTGTTTTATTTATTTTGGTTTATACGTACATATGATTATATTGTATTATACAGTGAGATGTTGAAAATATGAGTAAAAAATAATAGCAAAATCTCGAACTTTCTAAATGAATATTGCGAAAGAACAATGGATTATATAATCGAATATATGACATGCATTACTATTGTAGCATATACCCGTTAAAAGATCGACCGATGCTATTTCTTAATTATCGGGAGCTATCAGGTTATTACGTATTGCTGATCGAAGATCCAATAAATGATGGGGCACATATCCGTCATATTTCGTAGCATCGTTGTGGCGTAGTCATTGAGATTAGATCAGATAACCGAATCTATTAATTGGGGGAACTCTTAGATTTGCTCTGAAAACAGTTTTCCGCCCCTTAATTCTTTTTTTTTTTTTCTTTCTATTTAACAAATTAAGGCTTGTGCTTACTATTTATTGAAAAATAATGGCTGTGAATTGTTTTTAATGTTTTTATTTTCACTGAACAGATGGCTGTGTACATAAACGTCATTATCTCACAACATCCGATATTAAAACCTCATCGTACGCACGTATCAGTATCTGGAACTTAGCGATTACGTACGTACGTATGTATAATAGATATTATTTATTTTAAGCCTATACCCTTTGCCATACCTTTTGCTTATTTATTTATCTTAGTTTATTTATATTATGGGCTTATGTCTATTAAATAAATCTGCATTATAAACACCGCATTATGATGTATGGCTGTTTTTAGATTAGTGCTTCTTAGATTGAACTTTTCAAAGAATTAAATTTGCTTATGTAATACAGTAAATACCCATCTACAGAGATGTATTAAAAAAATCAACTTCCTTACAATATGATGCTGCGTAAGATCATTACGATCAGGTGCAATGAGTAGAATTAAAAACACTATTTGTCACTCGATCATAAAAACATAACACAAACACAATATGAAATACACTATATGTTCACATTGTTCACAACCGGTTCTATAGCATGTATTATTCTCTTCATCCACTTATTTCCTTCTTAATTCTCTTTATTTTCTTGATATCTAACCTGTTCGATCGGGCTATCAAAGTTCTACCTTTGACATCCAGGCAGACTATTGAAATTCATGCCTATAACTAATAAATTATAGTTTCCTTCCTCTCTTAAGCTTTTTTTCCTTGGTCTTTGGCGGTGGGTGGATGATAAAGCTAAACTTGCGTCGAGCTAGACGCAAAGACAAAAAAGGCAGAATCAATTTTTATTTCTTTCTTAAATAGTCATTTACTATTACCCATCACCTGCACAAAGAAAATCTAGAGCAGATTCCAGTGGAAATTGACATCAATTTTCCGTTCACATGATTTTCCGACATCAAATAGCCAATTAAAATCAGGATTAGGTGTAACATAAAAAATTCAAACAAACGTTCGCTCGAATTTTAGTTCTAATAAAATGTTTCCTAGCGCAATTTTACTATAATATAGCTCTTTCTAAACCTAACTAACACCATAACCCTAATATAAATTAATGTTTTTGTTCAAAGGCTATATTTCATTGACTTCGATATCCGAATTAATCGTTAAAAATTTTTATCGTTATATCAATATACAATAAATTTTTAATAATAAATAAATTATTTTATTCGAATCATCTCATTAGACGATTTTTCTCGTCTTTCATTTTCGAATAAAAATAATGATCCAAACTCAAGATTTGCAGCTCTGTTAAATATGGATAATTATTTACATATATAACAAAAATAATATTGAAATCAAAAACAAATTGAATATGAACCATTTATAAAAAGATGTAGTAGAAATAGAAAATGGGATACTGTGAACGAAGTCACGAGGCATCCATTTGTCACGAGATCATGACCCAGATCCCAGACCCATGATATCAGACGAGCGAGGGTAAGTAATGATGAACGGGGTAGTGATGAAATGGGTGATTAGTAAGTAATGATGTATTGGGTGATGAATCATGAGTTTGATAGAATAAGTGAAGGTAAGTATGTGGTCATGGTAAATGGCTATTTAAGAGTATTGGATCGGGAAAGTAGTTATTCCTCTTTTGTCTTTGCTGCTAGTTCAACGAAAGTCTAGCTTTGTCGTTGGTACTCACCCACACGCCACGGGGTGGAGGGAGTCCTGGAAAAGAAGGGAGAGTTAGTTTTAGTGGAGATATAGGTTGATAGCCCGGGCAGACAACCCGGATATCAAATAGGCAGGTGATAGCCCAACCGAACAAGGTTGGATATCAAATGAATACAGTAGTAATCGATTCTAGGAGATTAGCAGTGGACCACGTGAGCAGCGAGGCGATATCCCATATGTGTATTCCTTGTTTGATGTATTGTATGATCGAGTGACAAATCAACAAAATTACGTTAGAAACTTTATTGTAATTATATTAAAGCTCGCAATGTATCAATAAGAAAATCACTTCACTATCTCTATCAGTATATAATATTTACGATCCTATAATGGGACAATTTCCAGTTCAAGCAAATATGTAAAACGAAAATTGAAAAAAAAGCATTTCGCGACAGCAGCTATGAACAAGCTTGAAGAATTACAAGTGCATAAAAAGAAAAAAAGAATGACTGATAAAAGATTGCGTAATTATCGGAAAATATGTTAATTATATCCTATTTGTACGTTGTGAAAATCTGACTTATCTGGTCCTGGAGGTACTGCGACTCTGAGGTAGCATAACATTTGATTTCAATTTTTTAAATTTCTTAAAATTGGTAAATTTCATAAATTTAACGAACTTAGAGAATTTATCGATTTATTCAATTTATTGGATAGGCCACCTAAAGTATATTTTTGGTTTACATTACATTTTTTCAATTTTTCAAAAAATGACTTCCATAAATTAACCCGGCATCATCCAATAGGGGCCTTGTTTTCCCGGAATTTCCGACAGGACCAATAGAAAAAAATCAGACCGTCAATTCAATTTCCTGATTCCATGTTATGCAAACGAAAATTAAATTTGCGTGGCCTTAGATGTGAACATGGGTTTACAGCTGTATTCATTAATTTTGGGACATCTAGTAAAAAATTGACCGAATGATTTGTTTGGCCGATTCGATAAGTTTTTGATATCGGTAATGAGCGATTGTATAATGTGCATATCTTTCTAATGAAAGAGATAATGTATATCGATATTACTATTTTCGTGCTTCAGATTATACTAGACTCAGTTGTTATTGCTCAGACAAGTTGGATATTTCAGATTCAATAGCAATTGCTTCAGACAAGCTAGGCATTTTTAAAATGTTTACCATAGACCAACAAGCTAATGGATTCTTAGATTAACGTTTCAATATTTTCATCTAATTCATACTGATTTACTTTTTGGTCTATTAATTTACTGTATATTACATAAATAAATGAAATACTTTATAGATTTTTTACTATAATTTTGTTTATAATTTTCAATGCAGTTTCAAAAATATTAATAAAAACTTGGTTGTTGGAACTTGAGTTATATTTTCTTTTAGTCCAGTCAATAAATTCTTGTTCATATCGAACTTGTTTTTTTATTAGCGCCTTCTTGTGTAATATATTTATTATGAAAGCTTATCTTATATTCAGAACCCTTTTTGTTTGTCAAGTCTGTTACTTGGCAAGAACAATCTTCGTTATAAATTTTCCTACAGAATAAACACACCAAACATACTGGACATATATTCAAATTAATTTTGGATGTGTTGACATTGTAGTATCGTTCAGGAAACAATCGCAAAAAATACATATCATTATCGCTATATTACTAATCATGCCTAAATCAAAGTTTATCAGAAACTTATCGAATCGGCCAAATAATCATTCAGCCAATTTTTTACCAGATGTCCCAAAAATAATGAAAACAGGATTATATGTTTCAGAATTTTATCCTAAAATGAAACTTCATCTGAAATCCGAAATCAAATCCGAAACTCAAAATAGGTAGAACACAAATTTTCATATTATAAAACAATGAGTATGTTTTAGGCAAGTCTGTTTAATTATAACAAATGTTATCATAAATGTTAATTATAAGATCGATCGTTGATGCTGGTTTAATTGTTCTATAGGTGCAGAAATTCTGCGAGCAGATCTTAGGGGTAGAGCAACTTTACGTGGGTCTATTAAAATAATTTACCTGACTGCTAACCAACTTACCGCAGGAATTTGCACTGTCCGTAGAACTTTAACTTAAATAAACTTAAGTGCGTAAAGAAAGAAAGATGCATAAATTTAGACATTAGAATTGGGTGCTTGGTGATGAGCTGTCACTCACTATACTGTATGTAAAATTACGGTCTTGTCATTTTTAATTAGTGCACTATGGTCGATTTACACACCAATTTTTGAGTATTTCGCTTTTTCTTCGTTCTCACGTGCTCGGAATTCATGCAGGGCTGATCCGGAATGATAAATTTGAATTTTAATCTATTTTCCTTTCTAGGAATTGAATTACTACAGCGCTCTTTACTTATTTGTGCCGGTAATACAAACCAAAAAAGGAAACGAAGTAAATTTAAAATTTATTAAATATTAGGGTTAGAGTTAGGATCAGGGTTAGGGTTAGAGAGTGTTATAGGTAAAATCACCTCCCCAACATTTTTAGTTAATGCACAAAAGTAGATTAAGATTACCGTTTCTTGTATTTTCTTTATTTTTCTCTTTTTTTCGTTTGTTTTGCTTCGTCGGATTCTATGCCGGGATGATCCGGAATACCCCAAATTTGTGTTCTCTGATTGGCCGTTTCCTTTTTAGGGTTTGTATTACCGGCACAAATAAGTAAAGCCTAGTAAAAGTCGCAGTTCTTCGACGATCAAGTCCCATTATAGATTTTCCGACGATTAAACGTTATCTAATTTATCTAATTATTGCAAAATTAATTAAATTCGATTAATGATTAATTAAATATGATTATTTTTATAAATTTTGTAAATTTAACTCTCACTTTAACGATCTGTATCTCGTCATTCTGTTAAGTGTTATACATAAAATCAACTAATCACCTTGCTCAAGAATTGATCATAAACCCGCTCGCCAAACCTAAAAGCTTTCTATATATTGTTGATTTGTTGATTT